ATAATAGAACTTGCAGATGCATCATCTGTAATGCTAATGCTTATTGAGTGTTAACGATGTCCCTGGCAAGGTAGCAGGTGCCTTCCATGGAATATCTTCTTTAAAGTTCATAACCACCTCATGAGGTTGGTACCATTTTAGTGTCTACTTGGCTGCACCAGGTCTTTGTTGCTGCACACAGGGTCTGCAATCTTCATTGTGACGTGCCAGTTTTTTTTTTTGTGGCTTGAAACTCAGCTTTTTATTTATTTATTTATTTTTGTTCATAATTTTTTTTTCATTTATTTGTATTAGTTGGAGGCTAATTACTTTGCAATATTGTAGTGGTTTTTGCCACTCTTTAGCTTCTACACGCAAGAATCTTTCAGTTGTCGTGTGGGGGATCTAGTTCCCTGACCAGGAATCAAACTTGGGCCCCCTGCATTGCGAGTGGGGAGACTCAGCCACTGGACCACCAGGGAAGCCCTGAGGTAGGCATTATTTTAAACTTGCATTTTTATAGACAAGTGTATTGATTTTCTAGGACCGCCGTGATAAGACAACACAGACTGGGTGCCTTAAACTAGAGAAATTAATTTTCTCACCATTCTGGAGGCTGGAAGTCCATACCAAGGTGTTCACAGTTTGGTTTCCTCTAAGGCCCCTCTCCTTGGCTTCCAGATGGCAGGCCTCTTGGTGCGTCTTCACATGGTCTTCCCTCTGGGCCTGCTCACCTCTGGTGTCACTGTCTTAATTTCCTGGTGTCATAAGGGCAGAAGTCAGACTGGATTAGGGCATATTGTAGTGGTTTTTGCCACTCTTTAGCTTCTACATGCAAGAAGCCTATTAGTTCGTCCCAGCTCTGGTTTTTTTTTTTTTTTTTTTTTGTGGCTTGAAACTCAGCTTTTATTTATTTATTTATTTTTGTTCATAATTTTTTTTTCATTTATTTTTATTAGTTGGAGGCTAATTACTTTGCAATATCGTAGTGGTTTTTGCCACTCTTTAGCTTCTACATGCAAGAATCTTTCAGTTGTCGTGGGGGGGATCTAGTTCCCTGACCAGGAATCAAACTTGGGCCCCCTGCATTGCGAGTGGGGAGACTCAGCCACTGGACCACCAGGGAAGCCCTGAGGTTGGCATTATTTTAAACTTGCATTTTTATAGACAAGTGTATTGATTTTCTAGGACCGCCATGATAAGACAACACAGACTGGGTGCCTTAAACTACAGAAATGAGTTTTCTCACCATTCTGGAGGCTGGAAGTCCATATCAAGGTGTTCACAGTTTGGTTTCCTCTAAGGCCCCTCTCCTTGGCTTCCAGATGGCAGGCCTCTTGGTGCATCTTCACATGGTCTTCCCTCTGGGCCTGCTCACCTCTGGTGTCACTGTCTTAATTTCCTGGTGTCATAAGGGCAGAAGTCAGACTGGATTAGGGCCTGTTCTGATGGCCCCATTTTAACTGAATCATCTGTGCAAAGGCCCTGTCTCTAAATGCAGCCATATTCTGAGGTACTGTGGTTAGAGCTTCAACAAATGAATTTGGGGAAGCAAAATTCACCCATAATAAAGAGGAGACTGAGTCAGAAGAGAAGTTAAGTAATTTCCTCTAAAACTACATAGTCAGAAAATAGCAGAGCTGGTTTCCAATTTCGGGCAATGAAACAAGTCACGTGTTTCCACTCCTTGTTATCACTTCTAATAAATTTAGCATGATGATAAGCCCCCACTTCCCAGAACTCTGTACTTTTAATATTATATGTATGTGCAATCCACTGTGTCCGACTCTTTGCAAATTCATGAACTGCTCCTCTGCCCATGGAATTTTTCCGGTAAGAATACTGAAATGGGTTGCCATTCCTTCCTCCAGGGGATCGTCTTGACCCAGGCATCGAGAGTGCATATCTTGCATCTCCTGCATTGGCAGGTGGGTTCTTTACCAACTGCACCACCTGGGAAGCCCACTTAATAGCATATGTTATTGTGTGTTGTGTGTTAGTTGCTCAGTCATATCTGACTCTTTGCGACCCCATGGTCTGTAGCCCACCAGGCTTCTCTGTCCATGGAATTCTCTAGGCAGGAGAACCAGAGTGGGTTGCCACTCCCTTCTCCAGGGGATCTTCCCGATCCAAGGATTGAACCCGGGTTTCCTGCATTAAATCGATAAACATAGATTTGAGCTTTGGAGGCATAGCTTTGTGTAGTCACCCTTCTCCATTGTCTTAACCCTGGGTGTCACCTGCTAATTGTCCTGAGGTCTGATGGCTTCAATCCTCCAGGTCCTGGGAAACGCACCTCCTGGAGCTCTCTGCCCTCCTCACTAGCCAGTGCTCTAGGAACACAGTGCTCTAGAAAGAGGCCTAAACATTTGTACAGATGTCAAGGAGAAACTACAAGCTTCCTCCGCTCTGCCTGACTAATCTCCATGTCGGTGACCTGGGAAACCTGCAGCCTCAGATCCTGCCTTCTGCAGCGGGAGATGGAGCGTAACCCCAGCCCACGGGTCCTGGCGCTGCCGTATACTGTTGTTTCCTCCTCACCCTCCTTGTTGTACCTCTCCAGGCTCTCAGCTTCTTTCCTACTGCCTATGCCCTTCATACCTCATTGCCCTGGCACCTCCTTGGGCACAAGCCTCCTTGGAATCTGTCACTTCCATTGCCACAGTTTGCCATGTCTAGCTGATCCTAGAAATGGAGAACATAGCTATTGACTTGGGGGCTTAAAGCCAAAGAGAGCTCTGTTTCCAGCCCAATCACGAATATAAGGTTAAGGAAAAATAGCTGCTACTAAGTACTTTATCTACATTTATTAACTCAATGAATCTTCACAGCACCCCTAAATTATTTCCCTCTTCTCTAAATAAGGAAACTATGGCACAGATAGGTTAGGGAACTTGCCCAAGGCCACACAGCAGAACAAGGACTTAAACCAAAGTAGTCTGTCTAAGGAGCTCATACTCTTAACCATTTCTTCAAGTATTACAATTTTATCTTTCTCCCAGATAGCATGCAGGTGTGGACATGTACACATACATTCCAAAGATTGTCCTTGGATGAGTCCAACAGGAACCTATGCACCCAATTTATAAAAAAGTTTGACAAACGTAAGACTGCAGTGTCTACATACCAATAGACACACCAGTATTTTCTATTCCATAATTGGCAAAATAAGGGGTGACCCCAAGGTCTCAGATCATTCCAGGAATTTTCACACATATCATCTCATTTACCCTTACAATAATATTTTGAAGTAGCTACTATTATCTCCATTTTACAAGAAAACTGAGGCTCAGAGAGGTTAAGCAAATTGTACTGGGTCACACAGCTAATGAGGGGTGGGGCCAAGATTTGAACACAGCACTTCAACACTTTTGATATGATGCAGGGTACCCAGGTTTCAGGCTAGGTGACCCCAGCACTCATCTCACTACACCACACTGCCTCCCTACTCTGAATGATGCTGGAATTCTGAACGGGACTGCCAAGGAGGAATGAAAGGAAGGGTGCAGAGTCAGCTTAAAGAGAATATGATATTTACATTAGCTCTAAAGTCCACATTATTGTATTTATATAAACATTCAACAAAATCTGAATTCCAAAATAAAATAGAGCTAATCTCTTGAGTCCCAGCTACGACTGCACCTCTCACCTGCCAAAACCCATCCAGTGAAGAAGCTCAACCTGAAACATTTCTAAAGTATTTGTGTTTGAAGTCAAAGCGATAAAACCTGCATTTGCTAAATCCTTTTCTCTAAAAATCTATTAATAATGTATGGCCAGAACTTGCAGACAATGTAATTGTTGTTTTAGGGATTTGCAACCAAACTATTCTATTTTTGGAGGTTTGATTTTCGCCTAGTGATTTTTGGGTACAAGTTTTAAGGAAGGCACATGTTTATCCATTTGCTGATTCGCCCTGGCTCACAAAGCCAGCAGTGATTTAAACCCAAATTGCTTTCAATCTTCCCGAGTACCTCCTTTTTATCACAAAGGGACTTGCGACACAAACGATCTGTCGCTCAAGTAGGAATACTCACACGTTAGATGTTGTCAGTATAGATCTTCGTACTAAACCGCCGCCAGCAGTTCAGGGAGTCGTGGAGAGCCACGGAAGCAGGAGGGGAAGGCAGCGGCGGGGCATGAGGAGTTCCGGAGAGCCTCTCATTAAGAAAGCATCAGCACAAGAATTCTAACAACAATTTAGGCAAATTAGGAATGATTTCCTTCTGTGTCCCGGTGGTGTTGTGGAAAATACACAGAATATATGTGTAGCAGTTATGAATTTGAACCCAGATTCAGATGTGAGAACTTTGACAAGCCGCTTAATCACTCTGAACCTCAGTCTCATCTTCTGGGCACATCAGAACTTATGGTTTAGGCTTTTATGAGGTAACAGATTTCAGAATACCTCCTATACATCTGGCACAGAAAGAACATTGAAAATCTTTCATCTTTTAATAGGAAGGATTAAAATTTTCAGAGTTCATTCAGAACTTTAATTTTAAATAAGTTTCCACCTAAAAGGGCAAAATCTTAATTTATATGTATTTCTCTAGGAACATGTCAGTTAAACAAAATAAAAAGGGAAATCCTAACAGTCTGTAACAGATACCAGGAATATCTGAAACATTTTTCTCAATTTCCAGGTTTGTCACTGGAACAACTTGGAGTCAGCCAGCCGTATATGCTACTTCCTGCCAAAGACTTTTGGGCCATGGGGTTTGTTCACTACGAAGTGAGCAGACCACCCATTCCACTCCCTCACTGCATATCGCTGAGAAGAGAATGTGTGTTGCCCATGGCCATTGCTTAGTGCTGTTCAATTTGGAACAGCTTTCTGAAGAATGCATCCATCCATCCACCCACTCGCCCACCCATCCTTGTACCCACTCATCTACTCACCCTCCCATCCACATACTAATCTACCCACCCACCCATCCACCCACCCATCTACCCACCCATCCACCCATCTACCCATCCACCCATTCATCCACTCATTCATCCTCCCTTCCATACATCCATCCCTTTATTCAGGAAATATATGTTAAGTATTTACTGTGTGCCAGACATTACTCTAAACATTGTGGTTACAGTGGTGAACAAGCAGATAAAGTCTCTACACCTATGGAAATTACATTCTGCTGAAAGGAGACAGAAAGTAAATAAGTGAACAAATAAATATATAAGAATAAACAGCTTCGGCAGCAAGACAAATGCTAAGAAAATCGGGAATGACGCTTCTGATCAGGGCTTGGAGCTGGAGGAGACCATTTTAGATAAGTGTCCCAGAGGAGGAAAAACTGAGTCAGGGCCAGAATAATGAGCTGCAAGACAAACCATGCAGAAATCTAGAGTTAGAAACTAGGCTGAGGAAATAAGTCAAGGTTCTAAAGGAAGAAATAGCTTGGGCTAATCATGAATAAAACAAAGTTTAAAAATCCACCCCAAAGCTAGCGTTGGGAGTGGGAGTTAGTTTGAGATGGGGCCGGAGAGGAAGGTCACTTTGCCTGTGAGTCATGGCAAAAGTGCAATGGGACGGTTCAAACCCAGAGAGAGGTGTGATCTGATTTCCAGCTGTGGAAAGTTCTAGAATCAGGCAGAGGAGAAGTATGCCTCTTTCCATGTGTGGACTTCCTCTGGTCAGTGTTGCCTTCCTCCTTCCTCTCCCTCCTCTCCTTCCCATCACAACAGTGCTGTTGAGATGGCCATGAGATTAGGGTCAGGGTACACAATCAGAAGTGTCACTCCCTGTTTTGCTGAAAGCTTCCACTTTTGACTCAGATTCAAAGGATTTGTTAAAAAAACAAGCCTCTCATTGTATACAAATAAATAACATATTTATTAGAGATTATCTAGCTTACTTTGAGTATACTAACATTAAAAAAAAAGAGAAATAGAAACAGCAGAGTATATACATCATCAAACAGACCAACATCCAGACTTAGCTCGGTTGATAAAAGAATTCTCCTACAATGCAGGAGAACCAGGTTTGATCCCTCTGTTGGGAAGATCCCCTGGAGAAGGAAACGGTAACCGACTTCAGTATGCTTGCCTGGGAAATCCCATGGACAGAGAAGCTTGGCGGGATACAGTCCATGGGGTCGTAAGAGTCAGACACAACTTGGTGACTAAACCAATAACCACCACCAGACTTAATCAGTGCTGGGGAGTCCCGTGTCACAGCACATCTGGAGTCCCAATTGGGAAAAGGTCCCAAGCAGCGCGTCCACTCCTTGGGCAACACTTCAAAAATTGCCGTTCGGGGTTCCTGCTTATAATCCCAGGATGGATGTAAACGGATGTCACCATCAATCTGGGACCAAATTGCAAGCCTGGTTTCATGTTAATGCTGTTTGTTTTGTCTTGTAAAACTTCAGTCAGTTCAGTTCAGTTCCTCAGTCATGTCTTGCTCAGTCAACATCTTTGCAACCCCGTGGACTGCAGCACACACACTCCAGGCTTCTCTGTCCATCACCAACTCCTGGAGCTTACTCAGACTCGTGTCCATCGAGTCGGTGATGGCATCCTACTATCTCATCCTCTGTCTCCCCCTTTCCTTCCACCTTTAATCTTTCCCAGCATCAGGGTCTTTTCCAATGAGTCAGTTCTTCACATTAGGTGTCCCAAGTATTGGAATTTCAGCTTCAACATCCGTCCTTCCAATGAATATTCAGGACTGATTTCATTTAGGATGGACTGGTTGGATCTCCTTGCAGTCTAAGGGACTCTCAAGAGTCTTCTCCAACACCACAGATCAAAAGCATCAAACCTTCAGTGCTCAGCTTTCTTTATAGTCCAACTCTCACATCCATACATGACTACTGGAAAAACCATAGCTTTGACTAGATGGACCTTTGTTAGCAAACTAATGTCTCTGCTTTTTAATATGCTGTCTAGATTGGTCATACCTTTTCTTCCAAGGAGCAAGCATCCTTTAATTTCATGGCTGCAGTCACCATCTGCAGTGCTTTTTTTTTTTAATTTATTTTATTTGGCTGAGCCAGTTCTTAGTTGCCCCATGTGGGTTCTTAAATTGACGCATTCAAACTTTTAGCTGTGGTATGAGGGATCTAGTCCCTTGACCAGGGATCGAACTTGGGCCCCCTGCATTGGGAGTTCAGAGTCTTAGCCACTTGACCACCAGGGAAGTCCCTCTGCAGTGCTTTTGGATTCTCCCCACCCCCCCGCCCCCCTAAAAAACTTGGAATGTTGCTGAGCCCAGGGCCTGGTTGGCCAGGCCCCTTTCAGGGGCTCAACAAACTCAAGATTCCTCCCCCACCTTATCTAAGGAAAAGAAAAGTGAAGTTGCTCAGTCATGTTCGACTCTCTGCAACCCCATGGACTGCAGCCTACCAGGCTCCTCCGTCCATGGGATTTTCCAGGCAAGAGTACTGGAGTGGGTTGCTATTTCCTTCTTATCTATGGTGCTGCAAATCTTGCACTCAGAGCAGCAGTCATTCCCAGTCACTCCTAGTCAGGTCAGTGCCCAGGCAGGTTTAAAGCAAGGTCAAAGACCCGCTCTGCTTTGTCTCTGAAGCCTAAACAAGACAATCTATTTAATTTTCCTAACACTCCCGGGCAGGACTCTATGGAACCTAAAAAACTTGGAATGTTGCTGAGCCCAGGGCCTGGTTGGCCAGGCCCCTTTCAGGGGCTCAACAAACTCAAGATTCCTCCCCCATCTTATCTAAGGAAAAGGAAAGTGAAGTTGCTCAGTCATGTTCGACTCTCTGCAACCCCATGGACTGCAGCCTACCAGGCTCCTCCGTCCATGGGATTTTCCAGGCAAGAGTGGGTTGCTATTTCCTTCTTATCTATGGTGCTGCAAATCTTGCACTCAGAGCAGCAGTCGTTCCCAGTCACTCCTAGTCAGGTCAGTGTCCAGGCAGGTTGAAAGCAAGGTCAAAGACCCGCTCTGCTTTGTCTCTGAAGCCTAAACAAGACAATCTATTTAATTTTCCTAACACTCCCGGGCAGGACTCTATGGATAATTCCTCCTACTTTTAGAATTACTGGCTCAATTGCTAGACTCCTTATGTAACTGCAATAAGGCCTCGTAAGTGTATGGCACTCTGACATTTTTTACAGGGCGTTCACCATCATTATTTGATTTTACCCAGAGCGGTAAAAACATCAGGCATTTTTTTTTTTACCCTCATGTGACTGGCGAGGAAATTAACGCACAGGTAGGTGAATCAGTATGTGCAAGGTCATAGAGCTAGTTGGTGGCAGATTAGAATCCAAGTCCCGACTTGAAGCCTGGATTGCATCGATAGCGGTTCTCAATGGGACTCAGTAGGGTGGGGGGTGAGCAATTCTTTATTATGCTAGACTGTCCCAGGTATTGCAGGACATTTTGAATCCCTGGTCTTGGCCTGGAGCAATCATGTGAAAAAGCCTCATGACAACCAAAATGCACCCCCCTCATGTTTCCACACACACCCTGGGAAGGATTAGACATGCCCCGGATAGGGAACAGTGCAGTTTAATCCCCTCCCATGTAGATGGGAAATGAAGACACGAGGAGCAGAAGGCGCTTTGCAGCTGCTCACACATTTGCTGTGTGTTGTTTAAACAGCTGTCGCAAGTGCTCTCCTCCAGTCTTATCTGGTAAGCACAAGGATGCTGACCCATGCACACCATTTATTTGTTTAGTCATTTGACAGACGGCTCCTAATTACCTTGTAAGGAAGGGTTCTGTGCTCTAAGCTAAAGATGCCACGTTGCAGAGGGACATGGAGCTTGTCCTCTTCTCATCACCGGGAAGACAGGGGTGGAATCCTAGAAGCTAATGAACAATTACAAGGCAAAGAGGTAAATGTCAGGATGCAGTCACCGAGGTGAAGGAAAAATCTAGACAAGGGCACCCACCTCAGATTCGGAGATACCAGGAAGGAGAGACTTTCCAGCATCACAGCTGTTCAGAACCAGAGCCTATTGGAGTATAACAAGCTTGCCGTTAATGAAGATGTTTAAAGAGAGAAGAGATCATCAGATGGTTGAGAAAGTGTTAAAGGGTTTAAGTGGCACCTGCGAGGCCAATGTCATTGCCAGTCCTGCAGCCGGGGATGTCCATCATGTTCACAGAAGACAGCAAAGAGAATGCAGTCACTTCTGAATTCTGTAATGATATGCTGATGTGTGGCAATAAGGGAACCTGCTGCTAGACCAGGTTATAAAAAGAAATGATCTGTTTTCCCCCCAAAGTGCTTTCTACAAAGTACTGACTTAAAAAATAGATAAATAAAACTTACCCTTTCCATCTGTTCATTCACATGGGGCGTTTTCAGAACAATATTGAGCATTGAGAGGGGGTTGGTAACCCCCAGGACTGACCGAAAGGTGGGCTCCTGGGAGGACAGGGCAAGGGCAAGGTCCTCTAGGGAGGGACTTTTAATTGGGTACTGGGCACTTTTTAAATCTGAGAGCCAGGAGAGCTCCTTAGCACCAATTTGCTTTGGTCTGTGCTGATCCGGAGAGGTTGGCAGTCCAAACGTCAGCAGAGGACAGGTCCTGACAACTCAGTGACAAGGGAGAGAGTCTCGGGGGACGAGGGTGCCCGAAGACCACAAACGTTGTTCGGTCTTCGGGGAGGTGAAGTGTCAGCTTTCAGCAAGCATTCCCTCTGTACAAGGATGGAAAATGGCATCTAGAGAGCTACTGTAACTGGGTTAAAAGTCGTGTTTGTGCCACTGGTGTCAAAAGGACAAGGCTCGGAAAAAAGGAATCAGTCATTGGTCAGGGCGATGACTGTGAATTGCTGATGGCTCAGATTTAAACTTCAAAGGATAAAGCTGTCAGCGTTAACTTTTCTTGTTGCTTCTATATTTTCTATTGGAATTTTCTCACTCAAACTGTATGTATGCCAGATACCTATGGGATAATTAAAGAGTAAAATAATGGCCATCAGACTTAGAAAAAAAAATCTCTCTTCCCTGCCCATCTTCACATTCTATTTACCAACCTAAATGCCTCTTGTCAGTTCAACTATTCTCTCTAGTTTGGCTTTAGCAAATCCTTTCACCAGTGCCGAACTTTATCTTTCATCAGCTTGTTTTTGATGGAGGGAAGCATTGAGATGAATGAGCTATTCTCTTTGAGGATTTCGATTAATTCATTTTCCGTGTTCAGTGTTCAATTTAGGATTCCACACATATCTTGTGGTTGTCAAACCATCCACTGACCTCTGGTTCAAAAACTCCATCACATTTAGGAGGAATGTTTTGTTCTTGAGAGCCCCCTTATTTTCAAGAGTTGGTCTTTAAAACTGTCTTTTCACATCCACCCTCGCCTCCTGTTTTGGACCACTCGGGTCTCTCTTTTTAAATGGAGGACAATTGCTTTACAATGCAGTGTTGGTTTCTGCTATAAAACAACATGAATCAGCTGTAAGTATTCCTATCTCCTCTCTCTCTTGAGCCTCCCCCCACCTCACCTCATCCCACCCCTCTAGGTCATCACAGAGCACCAAGCTGAGTTCCCTGTGTTATACAAACAGCTTCCCATTAGCTATCGATTTTATACATCGTAGCTTGTACATGTCAATGCCACTCTCTCAATTTGCCCACCCTCTATCCATCCTTTCTTAAGATTTCTTCTTCTGTTTTCTTTTATTTCCTTTTTTGTTTCCCCAACTTCACCCAAACTACCTGATTTGGGCTCTAGCAGGGGTCTCTCCTTAGAAAATAATTAGATTTTGAGGTTCCCTACACTTTCATGTTAAAATTATTCCTGGTCTTTTTCTAAATCATACTTGTACTTCATTAAGCTTTGCTCATACATACATGGTCTGTATAAAAAAGTAACATTTAGTAAAACATCCCTATAGAAAATGTAACATGAAAGCAAAATGATTAAAAATTACCTAGAATTTTAAAATCTTTTTCTTTTTTTTTTAGTTTTACATAAGTTTCAGGTATACAGCATGGTAACTCAACTACCCTGGCATTGTGATCTTACTACCCCCAAATGAATCTTCTTAACATTTTACTGTATTTCCTTCCAGAAACATGAGTGCATGTGTATTCTATGCAAAAACACTTGTTTCCCTTAACTTAAACAAATTGGAAAAACACTCTCAGTTCACTGAAATCCAGAGGTGCAGTGGACACCCCCATTAGAGAACTGGGCAGGATTCACTCCAGGTCTTCAACCAACAGAGCATGTGATGCTTCTTCAGCACACGTGGAGAGTTTAGCTCAGTTTTCTCATCTTGACTGTGCATCAGAATCACCTGAGATGATTGGAAAAAATACAGATGTCTGGGGCCACCTGCAGAAGTTAGGTTTCAATTAGTTTGGGGTGGGGCCTTAAGTGAGTGAAAGTCGCTCAGTCGTGCCTGACTCTTTGCGACCCCATGGTATAGTCCATGGAATTCTCCAGGCCAGAATACTGGAGTGGGTAGCTGTTTCTTTCTTCAGGAGATCTTCCCAACCCAGGGATCAAACCCAGGTCACCATCATTGCAGGTGGATTCTTTACCAGCTGAGCCACCAGGGAAGCCTGGGCTGGAGCCGTAACATCTTATTTTTCCTCCTAAGTTCCCCATATGATTCTAACGTGAGGCCAGAGATGAAGGCATCCAGCAGCCCAAGAGGTGACTGTAGGTTCTTACACCATGATTAACAACACCTGAAGACACCATGTCAAGGGGAGACAGTGGGAGCTGGTGGGTCACCTCTCTGGTTGATGTGGGGATGGGTGCTGGGGTGATAGGGCACTGGTACTCAGCCTTCTACAGGCTAACCGGCTGGAAGGCTCTGACTTATCTTAGGTTATCACTTCATTTCCTCTTCATCCCATTTTTGTTTTCCAACAGTAGTCAAATAAACGAGCTGAGCTCACTTGAGGGCCTTGTCTACCTTCTCTTTACCAGCTGCGGCTTCTTCCTCTAACCTGCGGACTCCCACCCCACGGCAACGGCCCGTGATTTTCTGGGGTGCTGGCTAACCCCTGCGACCTCCTTTGCCATCTTTCTGAAAGACTATTTTACATAAGTTTTAGGTATACAGCATGGTAATTCAACTACCCTGGCATTGTGATCTTACTATCCCCAAATGAATCTTCTTAACATTTTACTGTATTTCCTTCCAGAAACATGAGTGCATGTGTATTCTATGCAAAAACACTTGTTTCCCTTAACTTAAACAAATTGGAAAAACACTCTCAGTTCACTGAAATCCAGAGGTGCAGTGGACACCCCCATTAGAGAACTGGGCAGGATTCACTCCAGGTCTTCAACCAACAGAGCATGTGATGCTTCTTCAGCACACGTGGAGAGTTTAGCTCAGTTTTCTCATCTTGACTGTGCATCAGAATCACCTGAGATGATTGGAAAAAATACAGATGTCTGGGGCCACCTGCAGAAGTTAGGTTTCAATTAGTTTGGGGTGGGGCCTTAAGTGAGTGAAAGTCGCTCAGTCGTGCCTGACTCTTTGCGACCCCATGGTATAGTCCATGGAATTCTCCAGGCCAGAATACTGGAGTGGGTAGCTGTTTCTTTCTTCAGGAGATCTTCCCAACCCAGGGATCAAACCCAGGTCACCATCATTGCAGGTGGATTCTTTACCAGCTGAGCCACCAGGGAAGCCTGGGCTGGAGCCGTAACATCTTATTTTTCCTCCTAAGTTCCCCATATGATTCTAACGTGAGGCCAGAGATGAAGGCATCCAGCAGCCCAAGAGGTGACTGTAGGTTCTTACACCATGATTAACAACACCTGAAGACACCATGTCAAGGGGAGACAGTGGGAGCTGGTGGGTCACCTCTCTGGTTGATGTGGGGATGGGTGCTGGGGTGATAGGGCACTGGTACTCAGCCTTCTACAGGCTAACCGGCTGGAAGGCTCTGACTTATCTTAGGTTATCACTTCATTTCCTCTTCATCCCATTTTTGTTTTCCAACAGTAGTCAAATAAACGAGCTGAGCTCACTTGAGGGCCTTGTCTACCTTCTCTTTACCAGCTGCGGCTTCTTCCTCTAACCTGCGGACTCCCACCCCACGGCAACGGCCCGTGATTTTCTGGGGTGCTGGCTAACCCCTGCGACCTCCTTTGCCATCTTTCTGAAAGACTACTGGCTCTGTCTTATGGGTGACTTTGTGCACTGACTTGATACAGCTATAGAGAAATGTACAAATTAGAGGATGAAGGGAGCAACATCTTAATTAATCAGATTCTTCAATTTCCAGAACACCACGGACTCTGCTCCAATTGTAGGAGAAAAGATAATCATAGGAAAATAATCCAATATCAGGAAACTAAAGAATCAACAAATTTCTGGGGTTTCTTAACCAGAAGTCCACAGATAGACTTTAGAGGGTCTATGAACCACTTGAAATTGAAGGTAAAATGTTGAGCGTATGTGTCCATGTGTGTATGTGTGTATTTTTCTGACTCTTGCCATGACTGAACAGCTAACACAAAACAAGTTCTCTTGAATTAGGACCCATTTGGAAAATATCCTGACCTTCCCCACAGAAACACACACACACACATACACACATGGACCCACACACTCAACAATCAAGAGAGTTTAAGAATCACTATCTCAGGGTCTGTCTTGCCGTGTGGTTCCTACTCTCCAGCATCGCCTCTTGTCCTTCTTCCCTGTTCCTCATATCAATCTGGTTTATGTCTTGTCTCCATCTCCTTTCTGTACCTACTGCCCTAGAGCAGGTCCTCTTCACCTTTGACCCGGAAATTGTCAAGTTTCCTGTCTAGACCCTTCCTCCTCTCCCTCCTGCCTGCCTTCTTTTCTTGGCTCTTTACCAAACATCTCTCCCTCATCCAGTTCACTCCTGTCACAGCATAAAGATCCTCTTGTAAGCTCCAAATTTGATTGAAGGCACTCTCCAGTTTAAACTAAGTGTTGGGGGCGGGGTTCTCAAAGTACCTACGGAATAAAAATCATGCATTCTATTCTGGTATTTATCATCTCTCATTCACTTCATTAGAGGGCTCCAACTATCCTCCTAATGTTTTCCTCTATGACTCCACATCCTGGCCCAAGCCTCTGCATCTGTTTGCCTCTGTGTCTTCTACTCCCTCCATGTAGAATTTCTTGATCTTTCCTTTACCTCATATATGCATACTCTATCCAAATATAGAATGGCATCTCTGCCATGATGCTTTCCATAATCCCGCTCATTCTCTCTCCAATGTAATTTTGCCCATCATTGTCTTTCTACTTGCATCATCATGATTTATGTATATGCTTTCATTTCCCTTGAGGATAGGGCACACATACAATTTATCTCTGGATCCTCCATAGGCTCTGGTACAATACTTTTGGACAGAATTTTTGCTGTATAAATGCTTATTCAATATTATTCTCTGCATCAGCTACAACAACAAAACACCACAGCCTGGCTATCTTCAACAATAGAAATCTGTTCTCTCCCATTTCTGGGGACTAGAAAATCAAGATCAAGGGTTCAGAAAATGGAGTTTCTAGTAAGACCTCTCTTCCTGGCTTGTAGACAGTCATTTTCTTGCTGTGTCCTCTTCTCTAGGCTCAGAAAGACAGAGCTATGGTATCTTTTTCTTCTCTTAAATGGGCATCAGCCCTGTTAGATTAGGGATCCACCCTTATGACCTCATTTAACCTTAATTGTCTCCTTAATAGCCCTATCTCCAAATATAATCACATGGGGGGTTAGGGCTTCACCATACACATTTTAGAGAGACACAGTTCAGCCCATAACACCCTCTGTATCTATCTGAGGTGCAGATGGGCCTGGGGTTTCCCTGGTGGGCTAGTGGTTTAGGCTTCACATTCCAGTGCGGGGGACAGGTTCAATTCTTTGGTCCAGGAAGACCCCACATGTCATGAGCAACTAAGCCTGTGAGCCACAGTACTGAGCCAGTGCTCGGGAGCCCATGCCCTGCAAGTGAGCGGCCCCCACGCCACAACTAGACAAAGCCTGCACACAGCAGTGAAAACCCAGTGAAGCCAAAAAGTAGATAAATAACTAAATCTTTAAAAAATAAATTAAGTATAAGTGGACAATCTCCAGTGTATCTGATAAAGATCCTGTGTCATGGCTGGTTTCTCAATCGACAAATGAGTCAGTCATGTTTAATGTTCTTAACAGGGAAAAAAAATAACCTGACATTTCAATGTTTTGTTTTTCAGACTCTAGTCATTTGCACGTGACTCTTATAATTTTTGTCATATTTTTATAGCAAATGTAGCACTGTTTACTTAAAATCACCCTTTAAATTGACTCATGTTTTCACTTAAATATTTTGAAAAATCACTTGTGAAATCATCTGTCTCGGAGAAGGAAATGACAACCTACTCCAGTATTCTTGACTGGAGAATCCCATGGACGGAGGAGCCTGGTGGGCTACATCAGTCCATGGGTTGCAAAGTGTC